CGGTGTACTATATAGAAATTCTAGACTTCTAGAACTTCTAGAAGTTCTAAATTCTAGACTTCTAGAATCACACAGTGTTTGCGGTTGTTGTGAGGATTAGATGAGGTAATATATGTAAAGGGCTTAGAACATTGACTAGCATGTGATGATCATTCCATAAGCATATATTCATAATCATTTCAATTTAAAAAGTTAAGGTATGCAACTATTAAATGATAATTTGGTACTTGCATAGGATCAACCAGATACTTAACTTTTTAAAAAGCATTTCACAAGCCTCAATTGAGACAGGTGGAATTCAAACATTTTCCTATTCTAAAGTAGAATTGCTCAAAAAATTGACTAGAAACACATTGAGAAAGTGTTTACGCCAATATAGGAAGGAGCCATGTGTATGACTCAGGCCTAATTCTAATGAATAAGTGTGTTATGGATTTAGTAAAAAAGCTGTTCTATTGACGAAGTTAATCACTAGTTTAATAAGAGCTACATTTGTGATTGGTTCCAATAATAAATTGTTTAGATTTCATAAAGTTACTTGAATTTCTCAAAATGTTCTTTCATACAAACTGGCCGATTGCACACATACACACAAACACACACACATTCCAGACACACAAACCTAAGACCTTATTAAAGGTTCTTTGGGAATATTACTATAAACTGAAACATGAAAATGTTCATTGTTCTTCAATATTAGCTGATGTTATGTATTAAATGCAACGTAAGAGTGGTTTGAGGTGGGGTATATAATTGCCTATATAAAAAGGTGTTCTTATATAAACAAACAAAAATAGAATATTTCAGCTACACAAGATGGAGGACACAGCGGTCTAAATATATTGATAATTAACAAATTTAACAAAAAACAATTTTTGTTAAAAGTTTTTTAACAAAAAATTTAGATGATATTTAATTCTTGTAGGAATTAGATTTTGAACAATTTATTGATAATTACTTTCTCAAAAGCCTTTCACATGAACTTTATTTCAGTGTGTTAGTTATGGTGTTTACTATGATACAATCATGACTCTTAAAATATTTGTGTACATATAAATGTATTTATAATTTATCTACTTTCTTAGGAGTTAAAAAAGGGAAAACATTTCACTTGGTTTAATTACCAACAACCTCACTTTTCCTGTGGGTTCTTTTCTTTGATATTTCTTTCCCTATTTTTTTTCTCTTTGAATTTGATGAAAATATGAGGTCTTAAATACTAATAGAAATATCAATATCTTTAATATAAATCTTAATAGCAAAAATTATGGATATTAAAGAATTTTATTAAATACTGACTTCCATTTTTAAAGTATGACTTCAATAGAGAAAAATATAATTTGTCTTGTTCACACTGTTACAAGTACTTTTGGTATAGTGTCCATGTTTCCCAAGCACATGGACGTCAAAAATAACTACAAGGTTACCCAGTTTAAATTTTATATTTCTGTATACTTTGGATTAATAAAAGAGAAGCACAGGGTGCCCACGGGACCTCAATTAAAAGGAAAATAAATGCCACTACAGAGCAGCCATGGATCAGGTGGCGATTTCCTTGCAATTCTGAATCTTTGCGTGTGAAAAAGAAAACTGCCAATCACCTCAAAAATATGCAGATGGATACAGGAGTGTCAGAAGACTAGTAACAGAAATATCTATTTCGTAAACCTATCAATATGGCCCCAGATTTCAAATTAAGTCATAAACATTTCTATGTTTCACAGACGTTTGCCTTAGGGCCTAAAGTATGGAATACAGGAAGCAAATTCTTTTTTTTTTTTTTTTTTTTTGAGACAGAGTCTCACTCTGTTGCCCAGGCTAGAGTGAGTACCGTGGCATCAGCCTAGCTCACAGCAACCTCAAACTCCCGGGTTCAAGCAATCCTCCTGCCTCAGCCTCCCGAGTAGCTGGGACTACAGGTGTGCACCACCGTGCCTGGTTAATTTTTTCTATGTATTATTAGTTAGCAAAATTTCTATGTATTTTTAGAGACGGGTCTCACTCTTGCTCAGGCTGGTTTCGAACTCCTGATCTTGAGCAATCCACCTGCCTGGGCCTCCCAGAGTGCTGGGATGACAGGTGTTAGCCACCACACCCAGCCACAAATTCTTAGTAGATTCCGAAGAACCATGACAGTGCAGAAGTGACTTGAACTACTTCCCTTTCCCCACAGTTGGAACGAGGACAGGCCTTGTCAAAGTACAGCGTCTACAGAGCTTTGGTCCTCTTTTAGAATCCATGAGCGAGTCCTGACAGAGCTCAGTTCCCTCCACCAGGAATACAAAAAGTGCCACATAATTGCAAATATAGAGATATATTTGGTACATACTTTATATATATATATATAGTATATTTGTATATGCCAAATATCTTTACTAAATATGTTTACCAAAATATATTCACTGAAGAAAAATATGAGTCAAACCATAGCTTCTGTGTTATTTTTAAAATAAACTATGAACTCTTTCAGAAAAGAATTTGGAAACATGGCTCAAGGGGATCACTTATCCAAACCTGAGATAAATTCGAAATAGTGAGATCCCTGAACGTATTTCTAAACATTAAGATTGGCACTTTAAAAAAAAAATAAAAATCATTGAAGTTTTAAAGAAGTTCTTAAGTGGTTATATTTGTTCCATTTTTATAATCAAAGAGAAACGTGAATAGCAGAAAAGAGCAAAACAGCCTTCATCTTCACCCACTACTAGTATCACAGCTCATTGAACAACTCTCAGTACTAAATTAATTAACGTGTCTCATTTAGTATTTTAAGTCACTGTAAGAATGAGATGCACTTTAATTTTCAACTAAGTTCAGAGGATGTGATATGAGTTGATAAGTAACCCCAACTTCAGGGCATGGAGCATAGTAGGAGGTAAAAATATTTTTTTGAATAAATATTAGTTGAATCAGAGTAGTAGCTATACAATAATGAGATTATATATGTCTATATGTACATGTATTTATATTTTTTACATACCATAACGCTTTATGTCATTGTACAACTGTGTAAAAAATAGGTGTAATTTTATGGGCCAAAAGACCAATGTTAGTCTATAAAATTTTGTTTCCCGAAAAGTTAGCCTTGTTGTGATAAATGCATCTCATTTTTATTTGTTTTTAAACTGGGTCATGGGGGGATAATTGTAAAGACTCTGAGTCTATAATTTAAAATCTTTTTTCCCATGGAGTGTCTTCACTCTCTCCACAAGAACAAAAGCTTCTCTTGACTTATTCAAACTTCAAAATAACAAGGAATGTGTGAAAAAGGACACCAAAGTTGGAGAAGTAACAGAGAATTCTGATCCACATTACTGGGAAATCTAAACTGTCAGAATGGCATTAGCCTCCAAATAAGAATTGAGATTAAAAAATGAGAATAACAATGATGGTGGTAAGTTTTCTGGTCAATCTGCCATAAATGCTCATAAAACTGGTGCTGCCAACTTAGCCGCAGCCTTTTGCCTAAAGTCTAGATGAGCCTCTTCTCTTGTAGCACAAAAACTATTTACAACTATGTTTACATATGTACATACTTACAAATTTATAATTTATAGTCAGGCATTAAGGGGGCAATGTAGACCTTCCAAGGAAAATACTCTAAAAGTTCCTAATAAAACCATACCATACAAAGCATTTGTATTGCTTGCCTTCAAACATTGCATACTATTTTCACACTATTGCACACTTCCCGAAACTACACAGAAGGACTACTATACTGAAAGAAAATAGCATACCTTCTATTTCAACGTATGGACAAAGTGCGCGTTTTAAAACTATTTAGATTGACAGATGAGGTGCTATTGGAAGGGAAATTAAAGAAATAACATTTATTGGCTCATGTAGCAATTTTATTATTTTATTTTTATTAAGGATTAGGGATTACCTTTTGCGAGGGACTTTTTAATGTCAAGTCTGTCTTCGCGGCAAATTCTGTTAATAAGATGCATTTGTGACCTTGGTATTATACATTCATGCAAAGCACATAATAGAAATCACACTAAAACAAAGAAAACGAAAAATAAATTAGATGAGGCAAAAGAATAGCAATCTTCGCTGCGATGTTGCTTGTTTCCATAAGATACTCCTTTTATTGATTTTATGAACATACCTATTTATGCACTAGACTCAAATACTGTACCAAAAACTGCAAGAAATGTCACTATTTGACTACTTATGTTTCTACAAAAACACCACCATAAAGGTGCATCTATTAGTAAAAGTCAACTAATAACTGCTAATGTACGTGTCAATCAAAAAGTATTTTGATTTGCCAAAAACTTTGAATCTAGGCAGATGCCCAATTGTTTACATTTTATTAGCATATTTCAGGGGCATAAAGAGTACTTTTAGATATTTAAAGAAAAATGAATTGTACCCGTGAATTGGTAACCATATAAAATTAAAAATTGTAGTTTTTAATTTAGCTACATGTGTGTACGTGTGTGTGTGGTGTGTGTGTGTGTCTGTGTGTGGTTTATGTTGTACATGTGAAATGAGCCGCAATCTGTTGGTGATGTTTTAAAGCTGCAGTTTAAAAATGTTCAATCCTTACCAAAACCTCTTCTGGTATACAAAGCTGTTGTAAATTTGAGTCAGCAAAATTTAAAGCTGCAATTTACAAAAAAAGCAGAATTTACATGAATTCTTTATCTGAAAGAGCTGCTTTCAAGACAGAAAAGGTGCCAGGTTAACTGCCCTTTCCTTTGTAATTAGTGGCTTCTGAGTCCCGATGAAAAGAAGCCTTAAGGCAGAATTTGCAGTAAACAGGAAAGAAGAGAATCATGTAAGTGCTCATCTGAAGTCTGGGACGGGACACCTATGAGTTCTCGTCGGTGGGAGTTTTTTTTTGGCACAATTTTCTAATCCAATGTGAATGTGGTTCCCCAGCAGCCAAACTGGGCGCATTCTCCAGTCTCCAGCACCAAGAAAATTTAGCTGATCCATTTCGAATACAACACATACCTGGAAAGAGTAAGACACATTAATCGTCTTTTGTCTTTTTTTTTTTTTTTTCCTCTTTTAGACATAAGGGAGTAGTTTCCAATGATTGAAAAAAATTGTAGGATTTCAATTATTCTGTCCAAATAAACTCTGAAGCTAAAAATGTAATGACCGTGACATTCCGATAGTTGTGAAAACATAGGCATTAATTAACATCCTGTCGGGGGGGACTCACAGCTATTTAGCTGGTCATGCTGGAATGTGTACATGGCTCTAGATACTATACAGAGTAATTAAAAGCTGATCTCGAACGTCTGGTTTTTCCTCTTATGTGCGGCAAGCTTCCAATTACACTAGCAAAGATTCTGAGCACTTAGGAACTGATGTTGCAGATATGAGGTTCTGCTATTTTAGAAGGATTCATTTTGCGAATGATGATGCCAATCTTCCATCATAATGAACAGAAAATACTCCTATTTCAAGACCTTAACCAAAAGGGTCCATCCTAATGGGTTGTATAGGATCTCCATTTTCATCGCTAGTAAGAAGAAGAAGGAAAAAAAAAAAAAAAATCAGGATCGTATTAAATCCACTTTAAGCCAGCTCCTAGGGCAAATCTTTTAAAAAGGCAATGGCTCTTTTGGCATGGAGTGCTTTCTGCCTGCGGTTCCATGAGTTAGCAAATGCGTGTCTCCATTAAGGGTCTACTGGTAAACTGTATCACTATATACATACTGTACATGTGGGCTCACAGATTAGCAGTTATTAGTCAGACTGTACATAGCAAAACAAACCCGAACTGAATGTCGCTATACATCCCCAGAGATAGTCTGCGCCTGGACTCAAGGGCTAACCCCTAATACGGGTTCCCTGTTTAAATAGGTAGCCCAGTAAACTAAATTAAATGTACCAAACAAAACTGGGAAAACTATTCTAGACATTCTGTCGATTTTGCTGACACTGTTGAAGGTCTTCTTGGCTTCAGCCGGCTTGTTCTCGGGTTTCTTGTTGGGCTCTGGCGTGGTTGCACTCTTGGAGATGGTCGAGAGAACTGGATCTTTGGAAAGATTCGGGGCATAATTTGCAACTGCCACTGCGTAGGCATTGTTCTGTATCGTGACAGAGGCTCTCTCTTTTTTCTAGAGGAAAACACACAAGAGTTAACAGAGTGTGTGGGTTCAGCCAACTACTTGACATCTTCCAAACTCCAGTTCAAATTCTGAAGGAAAGTATCCTGATACACATGATTATCCATTATGAAAAAAAAAAAGAGGGATTTAGGGAAATAAATAAAAGTATTTATTAAATCCTAAAACCACTAGGCTGAGGAAAGCCCCCAAATCAAACCAATGCTTATCACTTTCTTTGGGGGAATCACTTTTGTTGTTGTTGTTGTTGTTGACATGGAAAGTAAACAATAGAAAAAGACAACTTTAATAAACAGTGTAGGCCGGGCGCGGGGGCTCATGCCTGTCATCCTAGCACTCTGGGAGGATCGCTCGAGGTCAGGAGTTCGAAACCAGCCTGAGCAAGAGGGAGACCCCCGTCTCTACTATAAATAGAAAGAAATTAATTGGCCAACTAATATATATATATAGAAAAAAATTAGCCAGGCATGGTGGCGCATGCCTGTAGTCCCAGCTACTCGGGAGGCTGAGGCAGGAGGATGGCTTGAGCCCCCAGGAGTTTGAGGTTGCTGTGAGCTATGATGAAGCCACGACACTCACTCTAGCCTGGACAACAGAGTGAGACTCTGTCTCAAAAATAAATAAATAAATAAATAGTGTAACTTTTTTTTCCCTCTTATGAGTCACTCAAATATTTGCTGATTGAATGATTGACTAGGTCAAATTTAGAACTACTTTCATGAGAGAAATGATCATCTACCATGAATGAACTCAAACGTCTAACTTTGGTATGACAGTTGGGATCCCTTCCCATCTGATGTTAAAATCACACAGCGATGCTTTTACTCAGATGACGGGACATTATGACCTTATGTAGATGGCAGTGCAACAAATATTAAAACACAGAAAAAGAATGAAATGCAAACTCCTGGATTTTTGCGTTAGCTAACTCACCCCCAAACTGTTTCAGGTTGCAAGGTCCAGTTCAGTTACCCCAAACCCTCACCTGGGTCAGTATTACCTCCTGCCTGACCAAGCGCTATTACTTTGTGCTGTTTCAGCTCCACTTGACCTCTTCCCAATCATTAGACTCACCCTAGCCACAGAGATCTCTCTAAGACATAAATTGGATCATGGCGCTCCTACGCTTAAATCTCTTAAACACTATTTCATGGAACTTAGACTGAAAACACGCTTCTTACCATGCAGTCTTTTCCTTGCTCAGTGCACACTGGTCCCACTGAGATAACTTCAGTTTTCAAGATACCTCTTTGCTTGGGTGCCATGCTTTTAGCCTCGATAGTCTCCCGGCCCAGAACGCCCCAGCCCAGAATGCTTTCTGCCCATCCCATTTTCCGCGCGACCAATTGTTCCCTTTCATATTTTGATCTTGGTTCAAATGTGACTTCTTCAGGAAGGCTTTCTCTAACCGCTCTATCTAAACATCTTTCTCCCTGTATTCACTCTTTCGTAACACCCACATTTGTTTCCATCGTGGCATTTGCCAAATTGCCTAAATCTTTATTTTAGTTGTGATGGTTTGACTTTCTCATTCAATGAAGACTTGCGCTGCTTCTGTCTTGTTCCTCTTTGCAGTCTTAGCACTCGGCACGGAGCCTTCCGCGAGGTGGGCACACAATATGTAGCTGATTTAACGAAACCTGCCACGATATAAATGGCATCTCTCTACATCTCTATACTAATATAAAATATATTGTTAGTGATCTGAATGCAAAGAAAATTGAGCCAGCAATGCATCATCCGAAACAGTCAGTAATGCAAAGCAACAGATATAGAGGACAAATTGGCCAAGAATAGGGTTTGGAATGTCAACTATTTTAACTAAGGAATCTCAAAATGTCCAAATAATATGAGAAAGGAACTCTGAAAGCCCAGGAAGATCTGAAACAGGCCTGGATTGCCCATCCTTCATTGGCATGGGTCTTTCTGTCTCCTCTTTCCCCTGTTGGCAAGATATTCTTAGAGATCTAGCTTGAGTATGAAAGAAAGACAGATGCGAGATTACCATTTTTGACTGGATAAAAGCTACCAAGCAGCTCTCCATCTGTAACGATGCACGTAGTTCCCACGTTACAAAAGAAAGATAATCTGCAAATGGACAACTGATAAGGAAATAATAGCTAACACCTTTTGAGCACTAGAATGTGTCAGGCTGAGTGTTGAGCCAAGAGTGTCATCTCAGACAAACCTCACTACTGGATAGAAAGTAAGTTCTATCGTTAACACCGCGATACAAGTTTAGAAATGAAAGCTAAAAAAAAAGTTTTGGGACTTGACCAGGGTCTCCAGTCCACTAAATGGCTGAAAAGGGCATACAAACAGATGTGTCTGACTTCTAAGCCTCTACTTTTAAACAAAGCGCTACATGCCTTTCTGTCTGAGGAAGCTGTTTAAAATTTGAGAGTACCAGGTCTCAAAGTATTTCTGATGAGGTTTGTGAGGTCAATCTTCAAAAAGGGCTCTATAACTCATAATGTACATAACATATACTGTTTATATTACTATTTTACCCAAATCTAATTAAACATTCTATAAAATAACAAATTGCCCATATAGGCTGGGTGCAGTGGCTCATACCTATAATCCCAGTGCTTTGGGAGGCCAAGGTGGGAAGGTCCCTTGAGGCCAGGAGTTCAAGACCAACCTAGGCAATATAATGTGAGACCCTCTGCCCCCAATAAAAAAAATTAAATAATATAGCTGGACATGGTGGCATGTGCCTGTAGTCCCAGCTACTCAGGAGGAGGATCACTTGAGCCAAGGAGTTTAAGCTGACAGTGAACTGATCATGCCACTGCACTCTAGGCTGGGCACTCTGTCCCTCTTAAAAAAAAACAAATTGCACTTATAAAGAATCTGGGCCTTAGGAAAGTTCCTTAACATCTCCCTGCTTCAGCTTCTAGTTTGACAAAAGGGAGATGATACCAAAGCCATATTAAACTGCTGGGATAAACAAGTGAACTCATGTATATTCTACATTAGTGTGAAAAAGCATACAAAGCATATGTTCTCCTAAAGGAGTGCAATGACAATCGTAACTATTACAAGCTAGACACTAATTACTGGTGTACAAGATGTATGGGTAATATAATTTATTGTGCTTTAGAAGAAAAAGACATAAACATTGTGTGGAAAAACTCAAGATTTTGTGGAAAAACTCAAGGAAGGTTTTGTGGAAGTGGGACATTTAAGTTGGATAAGGAATTATGTTGTAAGATTTAGACACCTGGGAAAAAATACAAAATGTAAAAGGTCTTTGTTGCAATAGGAGTCTACAGATAGAAACTTTGTACTAATTCTAACCAACACCCTCTTGCCCCCAACGTGAATACCCTTCAATTGCACATACATGCACCTGCAATCCAGGTACAAAATGTTTAGCAAACTCTAGAGCAGAGGCACTAACCAATGGGAACAGACAGATCAGTCAAAACGGACCAATCAGAATGAACGTTAGCTACAAACAACGGGAAGGGTTGTAGCAGAGTGTACCAGCCAGTTGTCAACTCTGCACATTTGTTAATGTTGGCATCTTTTTGTTTCATTCTGAAACTGTGGAGCCTACAAAAAGCAGCGTTGAAAAATCATTCCAGTGTATGTTTGTAAGCTCTGTTGACTTAGGTATAAAAGGATGAAATTCGTCTTATTTTTCTTTTCATTGCTTACGGTATGCCTATAATCTCCGAACACAACTGCACTCTTCGGAGGAGTGCTCAGCACTGAACAAGGTAATAGTTCTGACTTCCAAATGCTCCCTTGGAATTTGGAAACTTTGCCATTTTCAGGACCATTAGTAAGCAAATCGCAATAGCCGTTGAGTTCTGTTTTCAGTCCAGAACTCAGTGGCTGGCAACTGTAATTTCTTACCAATTCATTGGATGGGGGCCTGGCTTCCCTATGGTGCTATGTCTTCTCAACTCCTACCCACAGCACAGTAAAGCTTTTCTGGATCAGACTCTTACAACGTCTTGTTTTAAAGGAGAAGATAACTCCCCTCAGTCCATCTGAAAATAATAACCACAAAACTATGGTAAAATAAGCTGTTCCTCTTTGTTTAAAATTAAAATCATGCATATAGAGAAAAAAATACTTGAATTCATAGCTGACTAACAATTCTAAGATTCTTTAGAGTCTACAGATTAAGTTCACACGATATATTTATGTAATTAAGGTTCTTTATAAGAGATAGATTTGCTAGTGACAGTATCATAGGATATCTGCATATCTCTAAACCATCACCAGGAAATGGTAGCTTGTCCTACTGACTACCAACGTCAATTAAAAATGACTATTAATATGATGAGATAAATTGTATTACTGAGACCTCTTTGAATATCATGCAGGCTTTGGATCAAGCCAGACCAGAAGTAGGCTGAATATTTGGGCCACATGCATTTGACCCCTCCACACTGATTTTTACCTTATTTAGTGTAACTCTTGGCTTACATTCAGACCCTTGAAGAGAAATAGTTCAATGCAACCTATTGTTGCATTAACTGTTCAAAATAGTACTGGCCGCCATGAAGGGATTTTTTTTTTTTAATGCTGCTATCTCTATACAATTTTTGTTGCTTTTGAGAACTACAAAAGGTCTGATCGTTCTTACTACCTAATTTCCTACAGCGTAATCTAATTTTGTATTTCTACTTTGAGGCAGTTACATAGGCCACTTCATATCATTTAAAGAATAGGGCCGGGTAGAGCCAAAAATATACACAACTACAGACTGGGTTTCTGGAGTAAAAAATAAAATAATAATAATAATAAAGGAATGTTAAAAATTGAGAATGGATTTAATTGGAAAGAGAATAAAGGAAACGAAGGCAAAGGGACGCTGATATTTTCTATTAATTTTAAGCAACTCTTACCGCTTTTGATACTCATACATGGATGACTGATACAGTATCTCTCCAGAATTCTTAACCACTGTGTTTCACTAGACTTCTCAGCCTACGTGGTCTCACAGGTAACTGAAACATAAAATTTCCAGAAATGCACTGTGCTTCCATGCGTCTCACTTCCTGCCAGAATCCAAACACCCTCCTGTACTCTCTTTTTTTTGTTTTTTGTTTTTTGCGACATATCCTCACTCTGTTGCCCAGGCTAGAGTGCCGTGGTGTCAGCCTAGCTCACAGCAACCTCAAACTCCTGGGCTCAAGCGATCCTCCTGCCTCAGCCTCCTGAGTAGCTGGGACTACAGGCACGTGCCACCATGCCCGGGTAATTTTTTCTATATATTTTTAGTTGGCCAATTAATTTCTTTCTATTTTTAGTAGAGACGGGGTCTCGCTCTTGCTCAGGCTGGTTTTGAACTCCTGACCTTGAACGATCCTCCAGCCTCGGCCTCCCAGAGTGCTAGGATTACAGGCGTGAGCCACTACGCCCAGCCCCTCCTGTACTCTCTTAAGCTGTAAATGGCACCACGATTGAGCCACGAGGTGTTAATTAACCCCACCTCGGTCTCCAGGTCAGACACACTTTACCTCCTCGCCAACCCCAGGTCAAAACTGACTCTGCTCTGAGAAGTCTTCTACTGCCTTCTACCGCCTGCACTCAATAGCCCTCCCTCACACTCTGCAACCCCCTGGTGCTCGCCCTCTATAACGACACAGGCGTGCATTTTTGTTTCACTTTTCCCTCTTTTTTATTCCCTTTCATTTATTTGCAAGATCCTTGAAGGCACAGACTGTGTGTACTTCAGAGCTCCCCGCACAGTGCCTGGCTGAGAGCAGGCTCAAAAGCATTTGCTCAATGGTAAAATGAATGACATGCACTAGAATGATTATCATGATTTAAAAATGTATGTATAACACACAAAGAGTATAAGAGAATATGTTTTATAGACTACCGTGTTTCCCTGAAAACAAGACAGGGTCTTATGTTTATTTTCCCTCAAGAAGACACCCTAGGGCTTATTTTCAGGGGATGTGTTATTTTTTTTTTTTTTAAGTATGCTACAACAATCTACATTTATTCAAATGTAGTTTTCTTTCTGGAAATCAGTCATCACCTCCGAAACCGAGTTCCATGCCTGAATGTCTTGCGACTCTGTTCCTCTTAGAACACCGAGCCCGCGATCTCTCCTGTGGAGACTAGGCGTCTCAGCGCGGGCGGATGAGAAGCTGCTCGTGTTCATTTCCGCTCGCGCGACGACACGCATGGGTTGTGGCAGATGCGCTGCGCAAGCCACGCCCATCAAACTAGGGGCTGATTTCATAGCACGCCCACACTAGGTGAATTTTATAGCCACGCCATCCCATAGGGTGTTTTCAAGCCACGCCCATCACTAGGGCTGATTTTCATAGCCACGCCCATCACTAGGGCTGATTTTCATGGCCACGCCCATCACTAGGGCTGATTTTCATGGCCACGCCCATCACTAGGGCTGATTTTCATAGCCACGCCCATCACTAGGGCTGATTTTCAGGGTAGGGCTTCTATTGCGCACATGCTTAGAAATCCTGCTAGGGCTTATTTTCGGGGAAACACGGTACCTTTAAAATCAAGGCATTTAAATAAATTGGAAAAAAATCAAAATAAACCATCTACAGGAGTGGTAGACTAGGAACTAATAAAACAAGTTCAACTAAAAGACAACGTCTGTGGAAGTTGTTTTACTTGTGTTTGAGACCCATAAAAGGAGATGCGTCATAAACAAAATCAATACATAATATATTTTATATAATATCTGGGGGAAAGAAGACTAAACTGTGCTGTTATGCAGTTTGTTGACAGTCCATTTGTCACTGAAGTGGAATGAAAAGAGAATATAACCACATTCACTGATTTTCTACTTTTTAAATGATCTTTTATAGGCTTCAGAATATTTTTGAGTTTATGGCTTTATTGGAGTGGATATATCTTTAAAAATGTCAAATCTGGAAAACTCCTGATTACAGAAATCCAAATGTCTTATACACCATAGTGTCAAAACCATCTTGGCTTCCTTTGAGCGGTAGCAAAAATAATGTGCTAGCAACTTGGGCCAATGTTCTAGCTAACAGACAGACACCTGTTAGTTAGTGATCTGGTATATGAATGAAAGTAACAATTGCACGGTTTCAGAGTTAGAAAAAATCTCAGGGATTGCTCCTTACGATAAGGAAATGGGGCTATTGTATTAAACACTAAATATAGTAGGCTTCAGAGAAAAACTCCAGTCTGCAAAGCGAAAATCTTTGCTTTTTCTAACATATCATGTTGCCCTTTTACAATTATTGCAGCTTCTAGAAAGCTCCATCCCTTGTAAAATAACGACATGCTCCCTGGCCAGAGAATACTATTGTTAACTACCTGCTAACCATCCTAAGAAAAGGGATACTTACAGAAGATTGTCTGAAGGTTTAAACAGTCCATCCACTTCTCTAAGTGCCCTAAAGTCTTTTCTTGGATTAAACTGGGCCATGAGAAAGCTATATACTTGGACCATATTAGCTTAGCTCCTTGAAGAATTGCTTTCACTGAGTTGTATCTTAATATAATGCCTTCAGCTTTTATGGAAGGGGACTACAAGAGACATCAGTATGAAATTCATTATTGCTTTTATTGGGGAAAATTGGACGTTACCTGCCATAGAGTACCCAGTTTTCCCTGATATAAAACCCACAAGATACTTTGTTTTTGATAGAAGTGATTTCAGTGTAAGGAAAAGCTTTTCTCTGAGTAAATGTTTATTTCCATTTCTTAATTAAAGAAAAGTAATTCTCTCCTCCCCCAATGTGTTACTTTGGTCACCAAGAAGCTCAGAATTTGAAACTCAATGACTACAGCTATGGACTGTAGCTAAATGTGCTGGCCCAGCCGTGGACATATTTGAGTCTCTTTTTTCCTTTGTCCTCATTCCCTACTTTTATTTCCATTTTATTCAATGGTAATTTAAGTGCATGCATTCTTTGATAAACTGCCTGAAATTCTTTTGGAACAAGGCAGGATGTTAAAAATGTAAATGAATAAATAAATACACTGGAAATGTGATGTTTTCTACGAATTAAATAGAATGACTCACAAAACAATGGCACATTCTGTAAAAATTTGGATATTACGTTGCGATGTCTGTGTTTGAAGTCATTTATTATCCAGTGTTTTCTATGCTTTCTTTTGAGCCAGTTTAGATTCATTGACTCAGAATTAGAAATAAAAACAATTTCAAGGAATTAAAGTCAATATATTTTTTTTTAACTCAAGAAGCCATGTGCCACATGCTGGGCTAGGTAACAGCAGAGAAAATGATGAATGAGGGAAACTCTCATCCGCTCACATCTTGTAACCTAGTGTTAGAAACAGATTTATTTACAAAAAAAAAACCACTATAATTTAATGAGATGGTATAAAAGAAAGCTGGGCCAAAGTCTTATGGAAACACAACTTGGGGAGGGGTAGTCGATTGCGTTAGTCTGGGAAGTTTTGAGATTAAGTAAAATTAGATAGACTTTTTTTTTAAGGACTGAATAGGAGTTTCTCAGTTGGGGCAGGAAGATGAGGTATGATTGCAAGAGGGGCCAGCGGGTCTAATGTCATGGAGTCATGAAAAGGCACGGTGTTTGGGGAAATCACTGTGGCTTGCAATAGTCAGAGGAAGAATATGAGCATGAACTTGAGGCCTAGCTTTAATCCTGGGCTTGCCACCTAGTAGATGGGCAACCTTGACCAACTAACTTGACGTGAGCAATCCTCATTTCTAAAATAAAGATATTCCCAGGCACATAAAAGTAAATTCGGAATGATAAATGACACACACAAAAAAAATCTTCCTTATCATTCATCACGTAAACAAGCACGTTGAGAAAACTCTATGTACTTGGGCTGTATTAGCTTAGATTTTTCAGGGACCGCCTTTAACAATCCGTTAAAGAACCGAAGAGTTAAATGATGGGATCTGGGTTTTAGAAAGATGGCCCTGGTAGAAATGCAGAAGATGAGCGAGGGGAAGACACAATTAAGGATAGAGAACAGTAGATAAGCTAAACATAATGACAGAAGGTGAAGACATGGTCTAAAGCATGCAGGAAAGAGCATGGACAATATTTTATGGCTGATTAGATGTTCGGAGATACTTCTAAGTTGCTGTCATGGGAGATTAGGTTGCACCATTACCTGAAGTATCGATTTCTAGGCATGGGCATCGGCCAGATAAAAAAATCAATTTAGAGGGCCGGGTGCGGTGGCTCACGCCTGTCATCCTAGCACTCTGGGAGGCCGAGGTGGGCGGATCTTTTGAGCTCAGGAGTTCCAGACCAGCCTGAGTAAGAGCGAGACCCCGTCTCTACTAAAAACAGAAAGAAATTAATTGGCAAACTTAAAATCTATGTAGAAAAAGTTAGCCGGGCATGGTGGTGCATGCCTGTTGTCCCAGCTACTCAGGAGGCTGAGGCAGGAGGATTGTTTGAGACAAGGAGTTGGAGGTTGCTGTGAGCTAGGCTGACGCCACAGCACTGTAACCGGGGCAACAGAGTGAGACTCTGTCTCAAAAAAAAAAAAAAATCAATCATTTTAGAGGATGTGTTTCATTTGTTGTTTCTTTCATTTTTTAAAAAATAAGTGATACATAGAGATTGTGATGTCATATTTAGGTAGAAATATCTAGGGAATAGGCTGTACAGATGAGATTGGAAGTTAAAAGAAATATATGAGGTATAGCTACCCACAATGAGCCTGGACAGAATGATAAAGGCATGGGTGGTAGATTTTGATTCGGTAATACCTCATTAATTCATGCCATATTTATTAAGCACCTAATATATGCAAGGCACCGTGCAAAGGGCCAGGAGTACGTGGTTTATTAAAATAAACATGGCCATTGTTATCATTATCGGTGAAGGAATTGAGGAAAAAATACCGTGTTTCCCCGAAAATAAGCCCTAGCCATAAAATAAGCCCTAGCAGGATGTCTAAGCATGTGCGCAATAGAAGCCCTACCCCGAAAATCAGCCCTAGTGACGGGCGTGGCTATGAAAATCAGCCCTAGTGATGGGCGTGGTCATGAAAATCAGTCCTAGTGATGGGCGTGGCTATGAAAATCAGCCCTAGTGGTGGGCGTGGCTATGAAAATCAGCCCTGGTGATGGGCGTGGCTATGAAAATCAGCCCTAGTGGTGGGCGTGGCTGCGCAGCGCATCTGCACAACCCATGCGTGTCGTCGTGGAGCGGGAAAGAACACGAGCAGCCCTTCTCATCTGCCCCGTGAGAGCTCTAGTGCTCCACGTGAGAGACTGGGGCCGATGGTTCTAAAGGAAATAGAGTCGCAAAACATTCAGGATGGAATTCGGGGTTTGGAGAGTGATGATGATGTTCCAGAAGAAGAGGACTTCACTCTGTTTGAATCAATGGAGATGGTTGTACCGTCCTTAAAAAAAAAAAAAATCACACATCCCCTGAAAATAAGCCCTAGGGTGTCTTCTTAAGGAAAAATAAACAGAAGACCCTGTCTTATTTGGGGGGAAATGCGGTATGCAATTAGAAACTATAATAAAGGCACTCATGCAAAAGAGCAGGGTACTATACATACTTAGGATGGGAACCTGCTCATTTCTGCAGAGGGGAAAGGGCTCAGAAATGTCCTGAGGAGTCGATATTTGTGCTGAGGATGGAGAGGGATTATCTGGTTGTGGATGGTAAACAGCGGGGAGAGTTTGCTTACTGTTGCACATATTTTCTGCAAACATTGTCCGTGAAGCCCTTAAAGTGAGAATCACACAGTGAATTGATAGTAGAAACAAAAACAGCATCCACGAAAGCCAAATGGACTGTTTGGGGGGATAAACAAGCACAGATGCCAGGGAGGCTGGGTCCACCCTGAACTGTGGCAGAGAATCTCAAAGCACAGAATGAACAGTGGCAGCTGCCACAGGGTGAGATAATCAGGAGCTGATATCCCGAGGCTTGTTTTCAGGAGGAAAAGAAGAGAAAAAGGGGCAGAGCTGGGCCTGAAATAGGATTCTGGAGCATAGCAGTAGGAAGGTTCAATGGGGGAATCCTTTGAGAGAAATGGAAAGTTATCATCAAATCTTAAAATATGGAAGTTATTGATGGCCTTCAGTGACAAGACAGACAGTAAATGGAAAGGAAGTCAGATTACAGTGAGTTAAGCGCTGAATTAAAAGCGATAACATTGTAAGCAATGTTTTAAGAAGTTTGAATGGAGAAAAGAGGGTGGCCTTTGAGAACGGGGGAAGGCAGTGGCATAGGATTTAGAAAGAATTTTTGTTTTGCCTTCATGCTAAACTAAGTATATTAAAGCATCTTCATAAGCAGAAAGAAAGCAGGTGGTTGAAAAGAAAAAGACGGCTTGGAAGAAATAAAAGAAGGAAGTAATAACTAATAAAACAAGGGTGAGAAAGCAACAAGAGGTACAGAGATCAAAAGCTGGAGTGGAAACATTTGTCTTGCGTTAGAGGAGGAAGACTGGGCATGAAGGAAGGTTCCCACAGAGCCTCATGTAGTATGAAGAGAAACTTTTTATATAAGGATGGGCATGAAAGTTTGGAGTTGGATCATGTGGTCCAGCACTATGTTTATAGGATAAGGCTTTGCTGCCCGATTTCACAAATAAGACACAGTTGTATAAAGTCCTGCCCAAGATCACAGATAGAGCAAGAAAGTCTTTGTCTTCTAACATAGAGCTCAAAGGTAGCTTGAATATGAATGAGTGGATTTAGTTACTTATTTGCAAAAAGTAACTTTAAATATCATCAGAGCACAATCTACTTGTTAACTGTAGACTGTGCAACACATACTCATGCAAATATATTCAATACACATTTTTTTCAAACATACTATTGATATGTATGAGTAATTATTCTTATCGGGCAAAGTAACACTTGCTATTTTATGAATTTTTAAGAACTTTTCATACGCTCTTTGGATTGACAGATAATTTAACTGCATTTACTCATGTTTACTAATGTCTAAAGCAAAGGACTTCCTCCAGGCTGGTTAGATAGAAAGGATATTAAAATGGCCTGTGGACAAAAACTCTGTATTTCAAGAATATGATTATTTTCCACTTACAAATTAAATCTTAAGAAATACTAAAACAGAGGTAGACTACACTGAAATATATATCTTTTAGGTATTATAAATAGGCTACTTTTAGGCACTATACTTGATTTCCTTTAGTTCTAAGAATATTTCAGTTCTTAATTTAAAGGTAGGTTCATGAAACACTTTCAACATTGATTTGAGTTGTGAAATCGGGTGGAGTGCCCATGAATTCGCCATTGTACAGTTTTGAAAACCTTCCCCTGAAGACAAAGAAGTCCTCTCCTTGGAATCACACCGTCGGATTTAAGATCAGAAACTGATTTGTTCTTTCATTCAGCAAATATTTCTGAAGTGATTTCCTACTAAGTGCCAAGCACTGCAAAGTGTAGGAGAACAAGCACCATGCCTGATGTAATGTTCTCTTCAACTAAACTACATGAACTAAGATAACATAAACCATGTCGCTTGTTCTCATGAAAATTCGGTTGAAACATGGCGCTTTCGAAATAGATCTATCTTGGCTATGTGTGATTCAACATACAGGCAGATTTAAATCCAGTATTCATCGGCAGTGGGTTACTGCTTTTCGAATACATTATCAAGAACTATGTTTTGCATTTATAGGTATTTCTATTTTCCAAGTTCAAGGATCGAGCAGTATATCGCTCAGTAAGCCAAATCACAATGTCAATTTTATTGGCACTCACTAACATTAAAAATAGTATATCAATAAAATGCCTATATGGGAATTTATACCATAAGACATTTAACTTATCTTTTGTGACATACTAACAAAGGACTAGCATTTTATCTTCAAAAATTATTAGTATAAAAGTGCATGGGCAATCAAAATAGCTAAAAAAAAAATTTATTGTCTAGATACAACGAAAAAGCAGTGTAGTAAGTGGGCAATAAAAACATAAATCAACATTAAGATGTAATGGAAATGCTGGAATAGTCCAGAAGTTTAAGCACAGAAAGGTGATCTGATTTCTTTTTAAATATATTTATTTGTTGGCTTTGTTATTAATAGTAGGCCAAACATAACTTACAAAAAAAGAAAAAAGAGTAAGAGTTTTAAATGATAACATTCACTGCTTGTATGTTTAAACTGCAAAGTGATCATAAAAATGAAAAACATCATATTTAAGTAAATGAAGAAGAAATCAAATCAGCAAGTATGTCAATCCAAATTTAATGGAAGAAGGATTTAGATGGACATAATGTCAAAAGAAATCTTTCGAATGCAACTTTTTACTATTACTAAGAATATTTTATATATCCTTATGGTATATGCAAAGCCTCCTCTTAAGGCAGATAAATAATCTATAAACTATGAGAGGAAATAACTATTATATCAATGTACAAAACTCCCACTAGCTTCAGGACTTGAAGCCTAAAAATGGACACCAATAATCTCAAAAAAAAAAAAAAATCTTCAAGAAAAATAAATTTATCTTTTAGACTGTAGGAAGCAATTTAAAAAATTCATAGGCAGGTTCAGCGACAAACAATGCTCGTTCTGTTTTGTTTGTTGGTTTTTTCGAGACAGAGGCTCACTTGTGGCAGGCTAGAGTGGGATGCGGCGTGGAGCCGTAGTCAACAAGCGAAACTCAAACCCCTGGGGCTCAAGCGAGGCCTCCTGGCCTCAGCCCCGAGTGGCTGGCACACCATGCGCCACCCCAATGCCGCTAATTTTCTGTACATTAGGTGGCCATTCATCTTTGGTATTAAGTAGAGAGCAGGTCTCGCTCTGTTCAGGCTGGTTTTTGACGGAACTCCTGAGCCTCGAGGCAATCCTTCTGCCTCGCGGGCCGCAGCAGTGCGTAGGAGTGCAGGTGGAGCCACCCGCCCGGCCAACATATTGGTTCGGTAGCGAGAGAAGAGAAAAAAATGTACCCTGAACGCTTTTGATAACGCAAGAACCAGAGATGGGGCTAGGGAAGCTGCTCAGCCCATCTGACAAAGGCCTAGAAATTCCAACAGCACGGTAAAAGTAATGCCCACGTTCTTGTCCAAATCTCTATTGTAATCCGGTGTGGTGTTTAAGACCATGAACTTAGACAGACAGACCTGGGTTCAAGTATACTTACAAACGAGTTTGGCACCTGGGGCAAGTAGTAGATTTTGCTAAGCTTCAGCCTCTTCATCAGTGAAAAGTGAGACTTAAGAAGAAGAGCTCTGAGGCGTGTTAGGCGCTTGAAATTAACGAGAAGAGCCTATGCAAAAGCCTAGCAGCACTGCCTGGGACACACGAAGAGCTCAACAGATGCTCAGGGCGGTGTTTAACAGGAGTACTACTACCAGAAGAACCCGAAAGGTTTAGGCAGAACACGTTTAAAAAAAAAAAATCGATATGATGAGCACCGCCGTAGCATTAAAAAAACCATAGTCGAATGTGCTAGGTGATTTTAGAAACAGACCTGTTTACAAGGCGATTTATTAAGGAGTTTTTATTTTTTTAGTTTTTTGTGTTATGTATTTTCAGCACTAGGTAATGAGGTTAATTTTAGTTTCAAAATAATTGTCCTTCCTCCCTCCCCGCAAGTGTCTGGTTCCAGCGGACCATCCCAGATGGTGCACATTCTCCCACTCCATTAGGTGGTATTATACCCGTCCCCCTCCCCTCCACCTGCAGATAAACCTTAACTGTGTTCCTTGTGTCCACTTGGTGTTGCTCAGTTGAATACCAGTTTGCTGGGAACGCACCATGGGGTGTGTTTTCCATTCTTGGATATTCACTAGTAGTTGGGTTCCCAGCCTAAACCAGGAAAATAGCGAGGATTGTGGCTATGGCAGCCATCATGCTTCTTGAGCTGAGATAGGTGGCTCCATCGTATAGCGAGGGATCACATTTTTTAATCCACTTCTTGGATGGATGGGGCACTTGGATTGTTCCAGCAGCTTTGCAGAATTGATGATTTGGCTGCTGAAAAACAGTCGAGGTAGGTAAGAGTCTTGTTTTGTAGAGGTCGGGAGCTTGTTGGGTAGAGCCCAGTAATGGATGGCTTGGATTCAAATGGAGATCCACTGTATCGCTGTTAAGTATCTCCCAGATTGCTTGCCCACAGAGCGAACTGGTTGTGCTCGGCAACCGCGGTGTAGGAGTGTTCCTATCCTCCCACAGTTCCAACCGCGCTCTAGGTTTGGGGGACAGCTGATAAGGGCTGGATAGAGCTAGATATATCAGAACTACGAAAAAGCAGCAAGAAAAAAGAAAGATCAAAAGAAACCCTATGGCAAAAAAGCAGAGAGAGCACAAACAAGAAAACTTTCTTAAAAACAGAAGAAGCCAGACCAAGAATTGGAAAAATTCTCAACATCTTCTAAGCATTTAGGAAAGCAAAGTTCAAACCACAATGAGGATATCACTGTAACTCCAGCGAGGGAGTCTTGTAATAAGACGGAGAAGGTTTTCTTCACGTAACCTGATTGAACTAACACTCTTCCTCCCAAGCCTCCTCTTTGGAAAGCTAATTAACAGTTGCAAATTCAATCAGGCGGGACACAAAGCGTAACAAACGGCAATGAACCAGTCCATGGCGGTTGCATAGGCCACTTTAGAAGAATTCCGGGCAACTGAGCGCAAGAAGTTGTCATGTAGGGGACGTTGTACCCGCAGAAAAGAAAGAGTGGAGCCAAACATCAATTAAAGTTACTAAGATACAGCCGGCACAGTTGGGCATGCCTGTCATCAGCCTCTGGAGCCGATGGGAGAGCGTTGGTTCGCTCGACGGTCAGGGTTGTCAACCAGCCTGAGAATGAGCGACCAACTTACTATAAAGTGAAAGAACATTAATCGGTCCAACTAAACTATAATAGAAAAAATTAGCCCGGCATGGGGTGGGGCATGCCTTGGTCCCAGCTACTCGGGAGGTGAGGCAGGGGATCGCTGAGACTAGGAGTTTGAGGTGCTGTTGCTAGGTGACGCCACGGCACTCACCTCTACGCTTGGAACAAGAAGGGACTCTGTGCTCCAAACAAGAAAAAACAAAAAAAGAAAGAAAAAGTACTAGAAGAGCAGCAGAAGTAGTTTTTCTTTCTTTCTTTTTTTCCCCCCTAAAATACTTGGGTTTCAGTACGTTTACCCACTTAAAAAAATGACGGAAAGACGTGGGCAAGCTTAATTATCTTAAGTGTGTTATGTTCTTGAAGAATGACTGAAAAATGCGTTCTCGATTCTTGTTTGTCCAAATCACTTTCCTCTTCTGAGAGTACTGCAGAAGGTTAAGAAGACTGAACGCCAGAGTAAATCACCTATGAGAGAAAAAAGCAGCACTTTCAAATTTGGCCCTTGCCAATTAACACTGATTTAAAAAAAAAAAGCTTCATATTAATTTGTTCAACATTTATTTGAATCGGGCCAAGCGATGGGCCAATCACTCACACCAGTGATCACCATGGAAATGTGATTAAGAAATTCTTCATTCAAGCAGGGCTACAAGTCACCAAATTAATTCTGGATTCCTTAGCAGAACGAGGACCTCATTTCTTTCGTAACATAGCTTAGAATCTATAGCAAATAAAAGAAGGCACTAAGAACAAACCTCTGTAAAATCTAAATCACCCTCTATAAAGAATATCGGATAACTTTGTTGGTTTAAAGCAGGTGTCCTCAAGCTACGGCCCGCGGGCCACATGCCGCCTGCCTGGGCCATTTATCTGGCCTGCCAGGTGTTTTTGTTGCCGCTACCTGTCCTGCTTAGCGGCCGACTCGTCCCGGGCCCACAGTGCGCACTCTCCAACGGTCTGAGGGACAGTGACCTGGGCCCCTGTTTAAAAAGTTTGAGGACCCCTGGTTTAAAGAATAATCGAGTTCCTTTTAACGCATGTGTGATCTAAAATAAAATTTCAAGGCTCACCCCCCCACACACACACACTGGCTGACTGCATGGACCCCCTGTGGCCAAAGGAATATCCTAAAACTAAATTGTCTGCCAGGAGGAAGGAGGTCAGACATGCTTTATGCCCCCCTCCCTTCTTGGGGACATCCTTCGTGACCCATTAACAGGCCTAAGAATATGCAAGACACACCTGCAGGTCCTCAGTTTACACAACAGATCTATGTCCCCTGGCTTGTCTCTGATTACAGCTCCTTATGTTGAAACATTCCAAGCCTTTAGACAAAGCTTCATGTCTTTAACCAATCACAAGCCAAAGAATCTTTAAACCCACCTGTAACCTGTAAGCCCCGGCTTCGAGATGGCCCACCTTCCACCTTTTTGGGCCAAGCCAATGTATACCTCCCACATATTGATTTATGGCTTTACTTGTAACCTCTGTCTCCCTGAAATGTATAAAAACCAAACTGTGACCCAACCACAGCGAGTCCACTTGCTCAAGGCTTCTTGGCAGTGGTTCCGGGTCATGGTCCTCAAATTTGGCTCAGAATAAATCTCTTTAAAATTATTTTACAGAGTTTGGCTTTTTTTCCCATTGACACATAGCTTTTCTGTCAATAGTAAGGGAAGTCACAATAGTTGAAAAAAAAAGAACGTAAGTTGTGCCATCGGTCCTGAAAATGGCTAAAGCCATGTATTTTGTCAGAGATCCAGAAGAAATTTAATTATTTACATAGGTGATACATTAAATTAAAATAAAAAAAATTAAAAATGTGACAAAAATGTTCATTCATGTTTTGAAGTACTTATGTATTTTATTTTTTACTTTCCTTTAGGATAAAGCAGCTTTTTTCCCTCATCTACAGTAGAGTTAGTAGTTCAAAATATCAGTCATTCTGTTTAATCATGAGTGACTCTAGGATTATGATGATAGTAGTAGGAATGATAAGTAAAACATAAATTTAGTCCACCTGCTACTGGTTCATTATTAAAAAACTCATTTACAGAAACACATTGTACATGCATGCAACAAACTGTGAAAGGTTTTAGACTGATGTTTTCTTCTGAGACTTTTGCATAGAAGAATCAATAAATAGAATATAAAATAGATATACACATATACATGCATATATATACACAATATATAAGAAATTAAAATAATAAACCAATATATGACAATATATTTAAATTCACAAGCAGCCGAGGAAATACAGACAGAGCAAAAATGAGATGCTAATTTTTAAAAACAATATTATCATCAAAATGCTAGCAAAACTTCAAATGATTGATACAATCCTGGTATTAAGAAGAATGTAGGGCAATGGCCTTCCTCTTTCTAGAAATCACAAATTGATGTCAAACCTAAGAAACTGTTGCCTAACCCAAGGTCATGAATATTACTTCTTCATCTGATTAAATGTATAAAAACCAAACTGTGACCCAGCCACAGCGAGTCCACTTGCTCAAGGCTTCTTGGCAGTGGCTCCGGGTCATGGTCCTCAAATTTGGCTCAGAATAAATCTCTTTAAAATTATTTTACAGAGTTTGGCTTTTTTTTCCATTGACACATGGCTTTTCTGTCAATAGTAAGGGAAGTCACAATAGTTGAAAAGAAAAAAAAAAGAAAAACGAACGTAAGTTGTGCCATCAGTCCTGAAAATGGCTAAAGCCATGTATTTTATCAGAGATCCAGAAGAAATTTAATTATTTACATAGGTGATATGTTAAATTAAAATAAAAAAATAAAAAATGTGACGGAAGTGTTCATTCATGTTTTGAAGTACTTATGTATTTTATTTTTTACTTTCCTTTAGGATAAAGCAGCTTTTTTCCCTCATTTACAGTAGAGTTAGTAGTTCAAAATATCAGTCATTCTGTTTAATCATGAGTGACTCTAGGATTATGATGATAGTAGTAGGAATAATAAGTAAAACATAAATTTAGTCCACCTGCTACTGGTTCATTATTAAAAAACACATTTACAGAAGCACATTGTACATGCATGCAACAAACTGTGAAAGGTTTTAGACTGATGTTTTCTTTTGAGACTTTTGCATAGAAGAATCAATAAATAGAATATAAAATAGATATACACATATACATGCATATATATACAATATATAAGAAATTAAAATAATAAACCAATATATGACAATATATTTAAATTCACAAGCAGCCAAGGAAATACAAACAGAGCAAAAATGAGATGCTAATTTTTAAAAACAATATTATCATCAAAATGCTAGCAAAACTTCAAATGATTGATACGATCCTGGTATTGAGAAAGAATGTAGGGCAATGGCCTTCCTCTTCCTAGAAATCACAAAGTTGTGATTTCTGTGATCATCAATCACAGGTTGATGTCAAACCTAAGAAACTGTTGCCTAACCCAAGGTCATGAATATTTAGGCCTATGTTTTCTTCTGATTTTTATGGTTTCATTTCTTACATTTAGGACTTTGGTCCATTTCAATTAATTTTGTGTGTAGTGTGAGGTGTATATCCAAATTCATTCTTCTGCATGTGGGTAGCCAGTTATCCCAACACCATTTGTTGAAAACTCTTTTGTTTCCCCATTAAATGATCTTGGAAACTTTGTTAAGAATCAATCGGCCAACTTAAAAAAAAAATTCTCTAAGGTCAGTGAGAAATTTTATGTCTTTTGTTATGCTTCATTTTAAAAATTGAGTCTTCTCTCTTTTTTCCCTTAGTCATTCCAGCTAAAGACAAATCAACTGTGTTGATCTTTCCAAAAACCAATTTCTAGTTGTGTGTTGAATTTCTTGTATTGTTATTTCTATTCATTTTTCCTTTGATCCCTGCTATAATGTTTATTACTTTCTTTTTCTTCTTGCTTTGGGTTTAGTTTGCTCTTATTTTTCTACTTTTTTTAAGGAGGGAGTTTAGGTTACTGATTTGAGATCTTTTTTCTCTTTTACACAGAGGTTTTTAGAGATCTAAATTTCTCTCCAAGGTACTTAGAGATATAAATTTCTCTCTCAGAACGGCTTTCGTTGTATTCCATAAGTTGTGGCATGTTGTGTTTTTGTTTTAAAGCATCTTAAAGTGGCCTTTGTAAAATAAAGAGTGGCCAATCGGCCTATTCATCGATAGAGAAATAGTTTAAAAAAATTGCTGAATATCTATACTGTGAATACCATGGCAATATTACAGAGAATAAAGTAAAGCTATATATTGACTACAAATGTCTATGATACATTTTGCTTAAAAACCTTTCACGATACAACTTTAATGGAAACATATACACCTGGAGTTATATATTTAAATAGGTATACCTGTATAAACTTAGAAAAAAGATACAAATAGAAAAAAAACACACCTACAGTTTCCACTGTGGGGGAGAATGTAGCATCTGAATTGAACACATAAAACGGAAAATGGACTTGTGGCTGTTTTTTTTTTATTGTTTCAATTGTTTTGGTATTTTAAAACCAAATACAAGAAAGAAAATTAAAGTATAAAACCTGTAAGGATACAATCTAAGTTGATAACATTAGTTACTTACGGGAATTAATATTGAGGGTATTTTATTAATTTTTGTTTCTTTTCCTAATGTGAACCTGCTCTGCTTCAGTGATAAGAAAAAAAAATACAATAATTTTGATTTAAAGTAGGGACAGTTGATGACATCTGTCATTTCTAATTCGAGTGCGAATTCTCGGCATATCTGACAGGTGCACTGATATTAAAAACATCTACAATAAAATGCAAGTTCAAATGATAGCAAATCATAAATTGAATTCTGTTTCTCTGACCTGCTAGTTTAAAATTAGATTTAAGTCTATCCATTCAAGCCAACAAAACATCAGAACCATTTCAGTATGAATCTATTATGAGGCTATTTTTCACCATATTCAAATCTTCCTCATACCTAAATTTTATTTTCTTTCATCTGATTAGCAAATTGTCATCCGCTAATTTTTAACTGTCATCAAGATGCTAGCAAAACTTCAAATGATTGATACGATCCTGGTATCGAGGAGAACGTAGGGCCATGGCCTTCCTCTTTGTAGAAATCACATCAGTCAAACCTAAGAAACTGTTCAGCCTAAACCAGGAAAATAGCGAGGATTGTGGCTATGGCAGCCATCATGCTTCTTGAGCTGAGATAGGTGGCTCCATCGTATAGCGAGGGATCACATTTTTTAATCCACTTCTTGGATGGATGGGGCACTTGGATTGTTCCAGCAGCTTTGCAGAATTGATGATTTGGCTGCTGAAAAACAGTCGAGGTAGGTAAGAGTCTTGTTTTGTAGAGGTCGGGAGCTTGTTGGGTAGAGCCCAGTAATGGATGGCTTGGATTCAAATGGAGATCCACTGTATCGCTGTTAAGTATCTCCCAGATTGCTTGCCCACAGAGCGAACTGGTTGTGCTCGGCAACCGCGGTGTAGGAGTGTTCCTATCCTCCCACAGTTCCAACCGCGCTCTAGGTTTGGGGGACAGCTGATAAGGGCTGGATAGAGCTAGATATATCAGAACTACGAAAAAGCAGCAAGAAAAAAGAAAGATCAAAAGAAACCCTATGGCAAAAAAGCAGAGAGAGCACAAACAAGAAAACTTTCTTAAAAACAGAAGAAGCCAGACCAAGAATTGGAAAAATTCTCAACATCTTCTAAGCATTTAGGAAAGCAAAGTTCAAACCACAATGAGGATATCACTGTAACTCCAGCGAGGGAGTCTTGTAATAAGACGGAGAAGGTTTTCTTCACGTAACCTGATTGAACTAACACTCTTCCTCCCAAGCCTCCTCTTTGGAAAGCTAATTAACAGTTGCAAATTCAATCCCAGGCGGGACACAAAGCGTAACAAACGGCAATGAACCAGTCCATGGCGTGCATAGGGCCACTTTAGAAGAATTCCGGGCAACTGAGCGCAAGAAGTTGTCATGTAGGGGACGTTGTACCCGCAGAAAAGAAAGAGTGGAGCCAAACATCAATTAAAGTTACTAAGATACAGCCGGCACAGTTGGGCATGCCTGTCATCAGCCTCTGGAGCCGATGGGAGAGCGTTGGTTCGCTCGACGGTCAGGGTTGTCAACCAGCCTGAGAATGAGCGACCAACTTACTATAAAGTGAAAGAACATTAATCGGTCCAACTAAACTATAATAGAAAAAATTAGCCCGGCATGGTGGGCATGCCTGTAGTCCCAGCTACTCATGGAGCGCTGAGGCAGGGGATCGCTGAGCGTCAGGAGTTTGAGTGCTGTTGCTAGGCTGACCGCCACGCACTCACCTCTACGCTTGGAACAAGAAGGGACTCTGTGCTCCAAACAAGAAAAAACAAAAAAAGAAAGAAAAAGTACTAGAAGAGCAGCAGAAGTAGTTTTTCTTTTGCTTTCTTTTTTCCACCCTAAAATACTTGGGTTTCAGTACGTTTACCCACTTAAAAAAATGACGGAAAGACGTGGGCAAGCTTAATTATCTTAAGTGTGTTATGTTCTTGAAGAATGACTGAAAAATGCGTTCTCGATTCTTGTTTGTCCAAATCACTTTCCTCTTCTGAGAGTACTGCAGAAGGTTAAGAAGACTGAACGCCAGAGTAAATCACCTATGAGAGAAAAAAGCAGCACTTTCAAATTTGGCCCTTGCCAATTAACACTGATTGAAAAATAAAAAAACAACGTAAAGTTCATTGAATTGTTCAACATTTATTCGTGAATCGGCAGGCGACGGCCAATCACTCACACCAGTGTCACCATGGAAGGGATAAGAAATTCTTATTCCAAGCAGGCTACAAGTCAACCAAATTAATCTGGATTCCTTAGCAGAACGAACCTATTTTGGTAACATAGCTAGATCTATAGAATAAAACAAAGCACTAAGAACAAAACCTCTTTGAAATCTAAAGCACCTCTATAAAAAATCGGATAACTGTGTTTAAAGCAGTTCTCAAGCTACGGCCGTGGGCCACATGCTGGCCTGCTAGACATTTATTCTGCCTGCCAGGTGTTTTTGTTGGCCGCTACTGTTCCTGCTTAGCGGGCCGGACTCGTCCCGGGCCCACAGGCAGCCACTCTGCAACGTGTCTGAGGGATCAGTGAAATTGGCGGGCCCCTTTTAAAAAGAGTTGGACCCCTTGGTTAAGAATATCGAGTCCTTTAACGCATGTTATCTAAAAGTAAATTTAAGCTCACCTTCCCCCCCCACACCCACACGGGCTGACTGCATGGGACCCCCTGTGGCGCAAAAAGGAAATATCCTAAAACTAAAATTGTCTTGGCAAGAGAGAGGTCCAGATATTGCTTTATCCCCTCCCTTCTTGGGGACAGTCCTTCGTGACCCAATTAACAGCCTAAAGATATGAAGGAACACCTGCAGGTCCTCGTGTACACCAACAGACATGTCCCTGGCTGTCTCGGATTACAAGCTCCTTGTGTTTGAAACGATTTCCAGCTTTAGGACAAAGCTTCATGTCCTTTAAACCACTTACAGCTCAAGACTGTTAAATCCAACTGTACCGTAAGCCCGGCCTTGAGAGTCCCACCTTTTGGCCAAGCCAATGTGATACCTCCCATATTGATTTATTGGCTTTACTGTAACCCATCTCCCTGAAATGTATTAAAACCAACTGGACCCGCCAACAAGCGAGTTCCACTTGCTCCAAGGCTTCTTGGGCGGTGGTCCGGGTCATGTCCCAAATTTGGCTCAGAAGAAAATCTCTTAAAATTATTTTTACAGTGGCTTTTCCCCATTGAACAGCATGGCGTTTGACGAGAAAGCCTATGCAAAAACCTTAGCACACTGCCTGACACACACAGAGCTCAACAGATGCTAGGCGGTGGTTTTAACAGAAGTATTACTACCAGAAGAACTCCTAAAGGATTTCAGGCAAGACCACTTTAAAAAAAAAAATCGATATGATTTGAATTCACATATACATTAAAAAAATACATAGGTCTGAATGTTCTTGATGTTGATTTTAGAACATACCTGTTACAAGCTGAATTTATTAAGGGGAGTCGTTTATTTTTTATTAGTTTTTTTTTTTATTTCAGCATATAATGAGGGTACAAATTTTAAGGTTTCAAATAATGTCCATTCCTCCCCTCCCCCCCAAGTCTGAGTTTCCAGCGTGACCATCCCCCAGATGGTGCACATCTCACTCATTATGTATGTATATACCCGCCCCCTTTCCCCTCCCACCTGCCCAATAACCAATTACTATAGTTCCTATGTGTCCATTGAGGTGCTGCTCAGTTAATACCAGTTTGCTGGTGAGTACATGTGGTGCTTGTTTTTCCATTCTTGGGATATTTCACTTAGTAGTATGGGTTCCAGCGCTCTTAAGAAACAATTTGGTGACAATAAATTTTTTTTTGTATTTTCCTTTGGTTTAGA